TGGAAAAAAATGAGGACAATCAATTTTGTACAATCAATATCGATCAACAAACATGAAATATCAGAAGAAAAATATCAGCGAGTACAAAGAAATGCAAATTTCAAGGAAGTCGGTACAATGACAGGGTTTCCGTGAGATCGCACCCAGTTAAAAGGGTAGATTTACATTTAAGACAGAAAAATGAAAGTTCTTGTGATCTGATGTTAGCTGTCAAAGTCCGTGACATAATCTGTTCGTGCCTTCGGAGTCTATAACGTAGAGCGTTGTTTTGAGAGCAGTACATGTTCTCTGTCGAAATGAGAAAGAGACTTAAATCTGTCGCGGAAACCACAATTTCATTGTCAAGGCGGCGTTGAGGAGGGATATCCCGTCCGTATCTTTGAGTCCACGCTCGGCCAGGGCATTCGGATATTTTTAGAATGCGTCGCGTCTCCCACTGCCCGGCATAGCATCACGATCCTACTCGTTGTGATTGTCGTATTGCAGGGATTTTTATAGCCATATATTTTTATATTTCTAGTTTTGTATTGATTGCCATTTTGCTATAAATATGTATTATCGCTCATTTTGGTATAAAAATATACTGTTTTCTATTTGCCCATAGCTGAGTCCCTAACCGGTGCTACCACCCGAGTAAGATTGGACCTGAGGACAAGAGTTAATAGGTGGTTCCACGCTCCTCAAAATCTCCACTCTCCCGATCAGAGGCCTTGATACTGGATATAATTTATCGTCATAACCAGGACTAAAATATGGTTCTACAGAAGGATGCTGTGAATATCATGGACTGAACATATTCGCAATGGCGAAGCTTTAGAGGAAATGAAAATAAAAAAGACACTTATACTTAACATCAGAAAGTGACAGTTGGAATTTCTAGGGCACATAATGAGGAAAGCGGGTTTAGAGAAATTGACACTCATAGGACATATTAAAGGTAGAGTTGCAAAATTCAGAATTATATCATCGGTGTAAAATTCAGAAATATATCTCACGTGTAAAATTCAGAATTATGTTTCACGTGTCTCAAGTATAAAATTCAACATTATGTCTCCGGTGTAAAATCCGTTATTATGCCTCAAGTATAAAATTCAGAATTATGCCTCAAGTATAAAATTCAGAATTATGTCTCACATGTAAAATTCAGAATTATGCCTCAAGTATATAATTCAGAATTATGTCTCCGTTGTAAAATCTAGAATTATGCCACAAGTATAAAATTCAGAATTATGCCTCAAGTATAAAATTAAACATTATGTCTCCGGTGTAAAATTCAGAATTATATCTCACGTGTAAAATTCAGAATTATGCCTCAAGTATAAAATTCAACATTATATCTCCGGTGTAAAATCCAGAATTATGTCTCCCATGTAAAATTCAGAATTATGCCTTAGATATAAAATTCAGAATTATGCCTCAAGTATAAAATCCAGAAATATGTCTCCGGTGTAAAATTCAGAATTATGCCTTAGGTGTTAAAATTCAGAATTATTCTCGAGTATAGATTCGGAATTATGTCTTAGCGGTAAAAGTCAGATATATGTCTCGGGTGCAAAATTCAGAATTATGCCTCAAGTATAAAATTCAGAATTATTCTCAGGTGTAAATTCAGAATTATATCTTAGCGGTAAAAGTCAGAAGGTTTAAATCTCACGAGTATACCCCAGGTGTAAAATTCATAGAAGAACCTTCAAAATATGAAAAAAGAAGTCATTGAAAAATGTGTTGGGTTATATGAATATACGAGAAAGCGCATGTAAATACCAGTCGTATCGGTCCATAAACTGTCCTATTAATAAAACTTCCCTGTTCATCATGGCTATCATGTCTCTGGCTTATTTCTGCGCTAATGATTACAATCTTAGTCCCTCTTTTTAGGTCGGCGAAGGGTTGGGTTCGCTTCATGGTCCGACAATTTTTCCGTTGCTCTTTCAAACTGTCCTTTTTTTCCCGCGTTTTCTCGCCTTAAATTATTATTATTATTATTATTATTTCATTCATTCATTTTTCTTCTTCCATTCATTCTTTTTCTTCGTCTTCTTTTATTCATTCTTTTTATTCTTCTTCCATTCATTCATTTTTCTTCTTTTTTCATTCACCCATTCTTCTTTTTCATTGATTCATTCATTCTACTTTTTTCATTCATTCTTCTTCTTTCATTCATTCTTCTTTTTCATCTTCTTCTTCCATTCATTCTTCTTTCATTCATTCATTCTTTTTCTCCTTTTTCTTCCATTCATTAATTTTTCTTCTTCTTTCATTCACCCATTCTTCTTTTTCATTGATTCATTCATTCTACTTTTTTCATTCATTCTTCTTCTTCATTCATTCTTCTTCTTTTTTTCATCTTCTTCTTCCATTCATTCTTCTTTCATTCATTCTTTTCTTTTCTTCTTTTCTTCCATTCATTCATTTTCTTCTTTCATTTTCATTTCTTTTTCATTCCTTTTCATTCTTCTTTTTTCATTCATTCATTCTTTTCTTTTTTTTCATTCATTCTTCTTCTTTCATTCATTCTTCTTTTTTCATCTTCTTTTTTCCATTCATTCTTCTTCTTTCATTCATTCATTCTTTTTTCTTCTTTTCTTCCATTCATTCATTTTCTTCTTTTTTCATTCATTCATTCTTCTTTTTCATTGATTCATTCATTCTACTTTTTTCATTCATTCTTCTTTCATTCATTCTTCTTTTTCATCTTCTTCTTCCATTCATTCTTCTTTCATTCATTCATTCTTTTTCTCCTTTTTCTTGTATTCATTCATTCTTCTTCTTCTTTTTCATTCGTTCTTTTTCTTTCATTCATTCTTCCTTTTCATCTTCTTCTTCTTCCATTCATTCTTCTTCTT